TGGAATCGGGAGAGCCCATTGGGCAGCGAGTTTGAAGTTGTGTATCCTTGTGCCAGAGTGAAATAAGGTGATTTATCCTTTTTTTTTTCTTTTTTTTTTTTTGTCTGTTCATTTGGCATGTGGGCAGATGCTGCCTGTGCGGGGAAGCCATGGCGAGGGGTTGGGAATGAGGAGGCGAGAGGAGGAAAGGCAAGACTGAGAGCCTTTCTTTGTTTTCTCCCTTTCCTGAGCTGGGGAATTTGATCCATATCCCTGGGTTCTCATTAAGGGTTAGAGTTCCTCTCTTAGGGCTACAGAGATGGTCTTTTTTAGCCCGAGCAATGGCTGCTTAGGAACAGGGAGATGGGGCCAATTCTCCTGATACTTCTAAAAAGAAAAGAAATGTAAGTGGGATCTGGAAAGGCCCGGGGCTGGCCATGCCCCAGCGGTTTGCTGCGGGTGGGAGGGCTGGGAGGGCTCGGATCCGCGCTCGGGCGCTGCGCGGGCTGTTTTCAGCCGTGGGTGCACGGGAGGGCTCAAATCCCAGGAGCGGCTGGGACCAACTTGAGGAGAACAGCCCGGTTTCGGCCACGGAGTTGTGCGGACAGATGGGGTGTGTGCGGGGTGTGGTGATGGGGTATTAAATCTCCCGCAGCACACCGATGGCTCCAAGCCTGAACGGATTCTCAAGCTCTTCCCCTCGGCTGTAAAACAGGGAGAGTGTTCTGTATTTCTGTTCTTCTGGCCCGGAGAGAGAGTCGTTCTCGTGTCTGTTAGTCTCGTGAGAGCTCTAAACCAGGCTCTGTGGTGCCCAGTTTTCTTGTGGGCAGTTTTCTGGTTGAAGTCCGTTGCTATTTGGGACAGATTATGTATTTGTCATTAAAAGCCTTCGATTCAGTTCTGCCTCTTTTGCCATGAGACACAGTAGGCAGCACAGTGCTCATCTGGAGCCCTCATCAGCAAACAAGAGGCTTGCAAGGGCAAGGTCTCCTCTGAGTGTTACAGAAGACTGTTTCCCTCCGGGCAGATAAATCATTGCAGTGTTTTTCTCTTATTCTTTTTTCTTTCTTTTGTGTGAATTGGAGGAGTGATCTCCTTTATGGTTCAGGGAGATACTCTGTGCACATAACAAAGTCCTAGTGGTTAGTGGGAGATGTGGCTTGAATGATCCGTATCCACTTCCCTCATCTTCCTTAGATTTCACATGTGACAGAGGTCTTGTCTCGGTTTCTCTGTAAAATGACGCGTTTTTTTCCTATCACATGGTGCTCAGCTGCTGCCACACTTCAGATGGCAGGAATCTAACGAACACAATGTTTTCCCTTTTGTGCTCGGACCCTAATTTTGCCAAAGTGCTCAACTCCAAGCGCGTGTTGTTTTTGTTTAAAGAACTCTTCCGTTAAGACCACTCCAGTGGTAATTCCAGAAACACTAAAATACCACAATTCGTGGACCCACGGTTGCGGGTTCAAGCGTGACCTCAGGCCTGTTGCTGCGCAAAGAGGCTCCTTTGCAGAAAAGGGAGATTTTTGGGGCTGGGTTGCTGTGCTAGGATTCTTTCTAGAGGTTTGCAAGAGCTGTTTGTCCAAAGCCCCTGTCCCCTCACCGTGGGTGCTTCCAGCAGCTCTTTCCCCGAGGGTTTCCACACTGTTCTTTTGTGAAATAGTCAGTAGATGGAGCTGTGACCTATGGAAGGTGTCTCCCTGCTTACTGATGTGTTGCATGCTAAATAATCGTCTTTATATGCCTGTTTTTCTCTGCCCCAGAAATCTTGCGGGCAAGGAATTTGGATGACTTCAGGACTGCACAGCTACATGGTGCGGTTAGTGGGCACTTCGCAAACGTGCAGGAGAACTTGCTTTGCTGGTGAAGCTTACCAGCAAAAACCAGGCTGGAAGAGAGGATGGGAAATGCTTTGGCAAATATCCCCTTGGCCTCAAGGACAGATTTTGTTTTCCAGCGAGTTCCTTTAGAATTTCGTCGGGTTTAGCCTAAGTGTTTAGCTAGCTCCTGTCATTGTAACGGTTTCAAGGACTCTGCAACACCAGACAATACGAGCCTGTGAAAAGTCCTTGAGAAAAACACCTTGAAAAAGATCAAGAAAGCAAACAATAAAATAAAAACAACTCAAAGCAAAACAGAAACTCTCTGAGAGTGCGGCCTCATTAGGGATTCTTCATGCACGAAGGAGAAAGTGTCAAGGCGTAGCAGTGGGTTGTGATTTATCGAAACACAATCTGAGTCGAGCCATGGTAGAGAGCGTGGTCAGGAAGCGAAAGGTTGTGGCGCAGCTGATGAGCGCTTTGGGAAGGTGGGTGGGTAACTGGGCTCAGCTCCTCGTGTCTCCCAAAAGCACCGTTTTACTCTCCTGGGGTCTGAGAGCCGTTGGGAGACGGTGCCGTGGGCTGAGGCTGCCTGTGGTCCTCCTGCAGCATCGCCCAAGAGCTCTGGGGTCTAAGGGGGGTTGGCAGTCCCAGCTCAGGGTTAGCCAGTGCTGGAAAGAGCAGAGGTTTTTTACTGTTTTAGCACAGCCTGCCTGTTCTGGGGATCCAAGAAATAGAGAAAGAGAAACATTAACTTAACCTTCCTTGTGCCTGCGTCAGGTATGAACACCACTTAGTTTGAAGTGACTTTCACAATAGGACTCCTGCCACTTTCCAGGAATAGCTATTTCGGTTTGAATTTGATCTCACTGTTTAAGCTTCTGTAACTTTCTTTAAGTTTTCCCCAGCTTATTATTGTCCTTTTTTAACATGAAACTCTTGGCTGGATCTTACCTTTCCTTAAACTGCTGATTCCGGTGCCCCGGTGAGGCTGTGTGAGCCCTGATGCCCGCTGAAGCGATGAAGCACCCTCCTGGGGTTCAGTTGCAGTAATAGGGCTTCCAGGTGTGAGCACGGGGGTGAAACTGAGTATTTGGAAAGTGCTGAGTGAGCCAGTCGCTCTCCTGGCAGTTAACACAGGACTGAACTATCACAAATGAATTTTTGCTCACCTTAGAGCTGAGCATTCCACCTCTGCCCCTCTCCTTGTTGCTATTGCTCTGGATATCCCTGCAGTATT